TTTTTTCTTTTTTGGGGGATGGCTAAAAGTGCGACGGAGCGGGATAAAAGGTCTCACCGTTGAATAATGGCGACATCAAGTTTAAACGGTGTTAATCTGTGGGATTGGGGCTAATGCGGATTGCGCCTCCATTTGAGGAGCGCCGCTCGAGCTCACAAGGCCTTTAAGCAGCTCAATGTGTTGTCACTAGTTGATTAAGTGCACTACAACAAGATGACAGGATTACCCCGACACAAACACACGGTGCCACGCTGAGTGTGTCTGAGTGTGTGTGCGTGTACATGTGCGTGTGTGTGTGTGTGTGTGTGTGTGTGTGTGTGTGTGTGTGTGTGTGTTAGGTCATTTATCACATATATACGCCCTAATAACCTTGTACAGTTTTTTTTCAGTTCATTTTCTGCATGTGCTGGACAAAAATGTCGATGCAACACTTTTATTTCTGTTCCCATCTTTCACGAGCTCAAGATTTTTTTCTATGTACGCAAAAGGCTTTTTTTTTTTTGTTCCTCAAATATTGTTCAGTCATCTGTTGAAATTTGTGTTCGCGTGCAAAAGAAAAGGTGTCAATAAACTCGATGGCGGCATTTGTAGTCGTAAAATGGGAAAGCAGCGTATGGGTGGGCCTTCATCGGTCACCCGCGTTTGACTGACAGGTCATGGCCGAGCGGAGGCGGCGATATGGCCGCCGTCATTTCTTTGCAATAATCTCGCTTTTGTGGCGCACCAGATAATGGCCGCAATTACATTCAGGCCATTTGGTGTCCGTCACCTCCGGGATGCTCGGAAAATCCAGACAAAAAAAAAAGAAAGGAGGACAGATTAGGTTTTATTTTCTTTTACGAGTATCTTTATCTCGTCTTTCAGTGTGACCTTGTTATATGTTGAGCATGGACGTCATGGATGTTCATGCTCAGATTTTTTTTTTTTTTTTGCAGACCATTCAACCTGAATGACAGTTTCGCATGCTTTTGTTTTGTTGTACATTCGATCCGACTGCAACAGATTCAAAACCGCAAGGGCAGATTTTATAACTGGGGTTGTTTTTTTTTTGAACGTACATTTTTACAGAGAAAAGAAAAACTTTCATCATAAATTAAGTCTTCTATTCTTATATATTTATTTGTTGTCAATATTATTTTTTTGCGTGTGTTATTTCATGACGAGAAGCCTTTTGAAGACAAATTTTTTTTTTCTGAGTTGGATTTTGCTGGAATCACAGATTTGTGTTGTTTGACAAAAAGTATGATTTTTGTGGAAGAGTATTTTTTTTCACATTTTAATGTGTTTATATGTTGTTAATATCTGGTTTTATTTTCTCGGTATTTTTAAATGTTTTGTACATTTTCTTTTCGTTTTACAGCAGTGTTAGCAATATTTAAATTATTATCTTATATTTTCAATATTTTTTCTGATCATATTCGGATTTCATGAAAAATATTTAAATATTTATAAATATCTTAAAAGTTACATTTGGTGGGCAAGGGAGCAATTTTTATATTTTTTATGAATATTTTGAGTCCTCGACCGCTGAACTATCCTTGTGGGCCAACACGGAATTTTCGTTTTTTTAAGCAGTGGATAAGCGCTGCGTGAAAGTCCAAACAGGGACAAGGGTGCAAATTCATCCGAGGGCTGACGAGGTTTGGGAGCGCACCTGTCGGGGATATTCCTCGACTGACTGCCTGAGTTTGAGGCAAACTTTCCCTCTTTCTTCCTCACAGGGGAGCGCCACTTCTGTAGCCGCTGTAGCCGCCGCCGCCGTCGAAACCGCACGGGAGACGCCCGCGCGGGATGGGAATAAAAAGAGGAGCAACGGCTTCCATTAAGGAATTCCGATTTTCCCTCGCCGCGCTTTTTGATCTGGCGCCAGAAGAACATTTATGCTGATGAAACGCATCAATAAAGTTGCTCAATTATCCCCGCTTGGAGAAGTTCCAGACAAGACGGGCACAATCGCAGTGAGTGCCTCGCAAACGGGAAGATTTAAGGGATGCGGCCGGGTGCCGCCTCTCCTCCTGCTTCCGCGCACGTCGTGCGCCTTTTGGCGACCGCAACTTTCTTGGCCGTGACCGTTTCAATGGAAACCACGCTGGGATGTACGAACCGCATAACAAGATCAACATGTGTGTTTAGCTTTTTCTTTGCCACGCGTTTTTTCAGAGTCCCATCCAAAAACTCAGCAATGCTTTGAGACTCAAATTGAAGTTTCAACATGTCACTTCACCGACGGATCTAATCTCCACCCCAAACCATTCACTGACCTTCTTTCTGCCTCAACCCCGAACACGACAACATCACCAAAATTTAAGTATTATTGAAAATATCGGGGGGGGCTCGGTGGTGGTCTGTGTTCAACTGAGTGCTTTGAACTAAAAGTGACTGACGACTTCTTCCGATAATTAGTGGCGCGTCACATCGCTCCTTATAAATCGCATCAGTGTTGATGCAGAAAATGGCAAGATCCAAGTCAAACAGTCCCACCCCAAAAGCGATCAGACGAGTTCAAACTTTTCTTTCTTTCTTCTCCTTATCAGCTCGACAAAGCTAATTAAAAAAAAAAAAAAAAAAACATCCCGACATGCTTTTGACATTTATGGAAGAACACAAAGAGCGGTGGAACGCCATCTTATCGGCGTATCGTCGCCATCAACTTGCAGATCGCGTCGGCTCAACCCAAACATGAACAAAAAGAAAAAAAAAAGAAGAAATCAAGTCAAAGAGAAGCTTAGATCATTATTTAGTCATCTCAACTTATTGTGACTTATTGCGTACGGCCGTATTTTATGTAGAATGAGTGATTTATGCTTGTAACACATTTGAATGCTCTCGCCAGACATTGTTTAAAAATAGTAAACAGCACATTTTGGAGGAAAAAAGGTAGATTTTAGCAAATATAAAAATTGTACACACGCTGGTTAAAATTTCCGGTTATTTTGAAATTAAAAGAAATAAATAAATAAAAAGTCCGGAAAAAAAGCCGACTAGAACAGCTGAACTTGATTTGGGGTCGATCAGAAGCAATTTAAGGGATGGCAGCTGTGCGCTGGCTGCCTTTTAACGTGCGTTTGAATGTGATTGGTTCATTCTCAACTCCGCCACATCCCCAATTGTCAAAGGGTGTGCATACTTCTGTAACCCTTTCGGATATTCATTTTAACTTCCCCTCTAGAAATGTTTGGTTTTTCAATTGAGGGTTAACATGTCAAATTGATAGCGGAAAACATTTTGACCTAAAACCTGATGAGATTTGACTTTTGGTGGTCTGCTAAAGGACGGGGAAACTCTTAATGACGAGCCTCAGTCTAATTTTTTTGTTTTAAAGCCCGCCGGGTTCAAGCGTGACCCGTTTTGAAGGAAAAGTGGCAACGGGCAACACACTCACCACATAGCAGGGCTCACAGTAGGCCTTTTTGTCGACGGCGTAGAAGGGTTTGCCGCGCAGCTTGCCGTTGCAGGTCATGCACACAAAGCAGTCCACGTGGAAGACCTGGTCCATGGCCGTGCAGCCGGTGCCCTCGCCCACCACGTTCTCACCGCAGCTGGAGCAGCGCCCTGGGGGAGAAGAGGGGGGGGGGAGGAATGCCTTTCAAGTCACACGCAGATCTGCAGTAAATATCATGCTCGCGCCATAAATGCAATGGAAAGCCGAGTAAGTAATTTTCACGGAATTCTCATGGGACGGACGGAAGTGTGAGACTTAATACCCGACACTTCTCGAAGTTCCTTGTGCTGAAAACTACATGTGGTATTGTGTTAAAAAAAAAAAAAAGAGTTGAGGGGATTTTAAGATTTTTTTTTTTGTAAATTTGGTGATTTAAAAAAATATTTTCAAGATAAAAGAACTTGTATTTCAGATTTTTTTTCCCATTAAAAAGGTGTATGTATGTGTGTGTGTATGTGTGTGTGTGTGTGTGTGTGTGTGTGTGTGTATATATATATACAATATATAGCAAAGAATTATTTTAAAAGGATATTGGATTTTTGAAAGAATTTTATTTTGGAGAAAGAAGAAAAACATTTTTGAAAAACGTTTCGAGAAAAATAGGGGGGAAAAACATGTATTTTGAGAAATAAGTCTGTCTTCAATTTTACAGTTATGTATTGAACATTTTTTCTTTCTTTAAGATTTGTGTTTTTAAAAAAAGTCGGAAATTCTTTTTTAGCTGGTGCATTTTGAGGAAAAAAAGTCAAAATCATACAAACCCCCCACCATAAACAAGTTACGTACTGTTTTTTTTCCCCCAGAAGAAAATGTTGTCCACTGCAGTAACGTTGTCCCTGAAAGGGTTAAGTCAGAATTTTTGCAATTTTTCAAAAATATTTTTGAAAAAAGTTATACACTTTTAAGCAAAAAAGGTGATTTAATTATTTTTAGGGAGCGAGAAAAAAAAAGTAAAAATGCACTTTTGACAAAAAAGTCTTAATTTTACAACAAACTCACTGTGAGACATTTTACGGCATACTTTTAAGAAAAACGGTAGATTTTAATTATTTGAGACAACAAATGTATTTTTATCATTTAAAAAAAAAAACGTTTTTTGAGAAAAAAAAAAGATCTGTTTCTAATCGGGTCAATGACTTGAAAATCAGCACAACTGGATGGACGAACAGCCACGATTGCTCACGCGACCGCTTCCCTTGACTTAAATTCCCGTCTCGAAAGAAAGTTGACTTCCCGCGTGTGCGCGCCTTCAATGTAATCCCACCAAGAAAAGCAACAAAAGAGAAGAAAGTGTCGGCGCGATAAAACAAACTTTTTAAAAGGGGTCACGAGCTCCGAGATAGGATTGCCAAGCGAAATCGCCCAAACGCGCACTGGTGTGGCATTTGGATATCTTTAATTGCGTCGGCGATATCTTTAATTGGTTTTAAGATGTCCTCCACTCAATGCCACTTATCTGCGCGGCCAATTAATGCCACTGTCAATTTCATTAGCGCTATCTTACCATAATAGCCTTGAAAGAGATATCAGAGAATAGGGTTATTTTTTGACACATCTGACGAGCGATGCCATCTGCGACGGCACATTTCAATTCATTCCGCTCGCTTTTCATTTTGGGGGCGATTTGATGGATGATTGGCAGCCGTTGAGCGCGTTAGCGTTTTGGAGCGCTATCTGATTGTTTGATTGTCGTGACATTTGGCAGGGAGCGACGCGAACCCCTTGGTGACTGTTGCGCATTCTCATCTCCGATTGAGTCATTGATCGGATTATCAAAGCGAGCTAGTAGTCAAGTTTTTTTTTTTTCTTTCGAATGTTAGCTGTGGCGAAGGAAAAAATAAAGGCGAGATTTATACAACATGCTTGCAGCTTTTGATTCCTAAGTGGCATTTTTTTTTTTTGGTTGGCGTAAAAGCCAAGAAATAAATTTCGGACTCAAATTACGACAAGCGTAGAACAAAATTTTCAAAAACGTGATTTGGAAAATACTTGACACGTATGTGAAAAGTGATCCGATTAAAAACGTATAAGAACGTGTCTACACGTGTCATTTACAGGATATCAACACCACCTTGACAGCAACAGATACGACCCAAAGTCCCCATTTGATTAAAAAAAAAAAAAAAAAAAAGATAAAATAAAAAATGGATAACATTTTATATTGACTGGCATGTTGTCATGCATGATCATCCAATGATTCTCACAATTCAAAAGCTCCCGCCGTGCCTCAATTACGCCACCGATACCGATTGTGCGGAACAGGAGGCACATTAAACAAAGGAGCCAAGGCTCGTCTCGGGGGAACACGTGGGCGTCGGCGGAATCACGAGAGGGGTAATCACTTCACACAGGGCGTGTGTGTGTGTGTGTGTGTGTGTGTGTGTGTGTGTGTGTGTGTGTGTGTGTGTGTGTGTGTGTGTGTGTGTGTGTGTAGGCATGGTGCGTGTCGATGGAGCCTGTTCGCAGCTGGGGATCACAGGCCATCTCCGGTGAGCTGATGGGAATGCCAAACAGCGAGCAGGAAACTTCGTGGAAATACTCACGCCGTTCCCACCCCCAACCCCCCCCCTTTTTTTTTAAATAATCAAAAATGAAAGAAAAAAATATCTGTTTATTGTGTCACAGGTGACCAAATTGTTGTATTTTATTAATGATGAGGAAAAAAAGCAGTGTTTTTTTTTAAACTAGAAATTGGTTTTTATTCGCTCCTGAAAACATTTCCATTTTCTTCATAGAGTGAAATTCTTCTTGCAAGAATTTCACTTTTTTTTTTTTTTTGCTTCAATGTGGCACAATATTGGCTCCTCAAAATTGACAAGATTAAAAAAAAAAAAAATAGAAAAAAAATTGACCTTGCAATATACGGTATATATTTGTTTTGCCAGTGACAAAATTCTCTCTTTTCATTCATGAAAATGAGGAAAGTCGTAGACTTTTTTTTTCCCCCATGAGCTACAAAATTTTCAAATATTTAAACCTGAAAAACAAAATTTCGGAATATATTTTTAAAATTCAAAACTTTTTTTTCCAATTGATAAATTTTGCAAATTTTTCTGCTCCAAAGTGAAGTTTTCTCCAGAACCATGTGCTTCAATTTTTTTCACCCCATTAGAGTGAGACTTTAGCAAGCATCAAACTTTTCCGCAGCTTCGTATGATCACGACACAAACGGCTCGACGCCGAGATCTGTTTCACCTCAATAATTCGCAGCCGCCAGACCCGACGTGATCGTTCTCGTCGAATCATACAACGCCGAGCCCTGCCACGATCCACCCTGACGGACGGACGGCGACCAAACTCAACTACTTTCCAACCATCGGTGGCGGGCCCATCAAGGAATCATGAAAGAAGGCCCGAGCTGTCCCGAGCGTCTCGCAGAATAGAACGGGAGAGCCTTAATGTCTCCACTTCAAATGTTTCCTGTACAAGCAATGCAAGTGTGACGGGGAGGGCGGGAGCTTCATTTACACTTGACTCGCGCTCTCTTTGCTTTCATTCTCGCCGCCTCAGAAGTGCCTCTTCTGTGCCTCTTCTGTGCCAAAGTCAAAAAAGAAGAAAAGAAGAGGAGAAAACCTTTTTTTTTCTTTTTTTTGCGCACGTTCCCCGCGAGCCGCCTGGCGATGCTTAGACAATTTAATTGGATAAAAGGCAAAGATTAAAGAGACCCCGACTCCGGGCCATTAATAATTGATTTCTAATGTATCGGCAATGACAGTGAGATGGCCTTGTTTGGAGACGGGTGTGGAGGGCTGTCGAGTGGCACGAAAACCTTTTTGTGTGTGTTTTTTCACACACACACACACACACACACACACACACACACACACACACACACACACACACACACACACACACACACACAAAAGCGCAAACTCTCACCCGCACATACACGCAAACACACAAAGCGATATCAAGGCGGTGAGGGAGCACACGCTCGCGCCTCAATTTGATCTTACATCCTCGCAAATCAAAGACACGGCGTGTAAAGGAAAAAAAAAAAAGGCGAGAGCGTTCACACGCATGCAACTTTTTTTTTTTTCTTCTGGGAGAGGAAAAACTTTATTTGCCGCCACTTGTGTGGAAATGAAGAACGGCATTCTCGCTGGCGCAACCGTTGCGAGCTCCCCGAGGCCAGGCAGACAACGTCTGCAGCCAAGCTAACGAAAGAACCAGCGGAATACGACTGCCAACTACCCCCCAAACTAAATCACGATTCCAACAAAAACGACGCAAGTCAACAGTGACCAAAACTAATCCCCAAATGCCATTTTTTGTCATGTCGGAGGCTGCAATTTGGACACCCCTGCTCTGATCTGTCCCGAGGTGTGACTGTGAGTGCAAAAGGTTGTTTTTTTTCTACGTGTGCTCTGCGTTTGCAGCAAAAAAAAAAAAAAAATCGGCAAATCCAAAACTTGCCCGGCCGATTCATTGGTTGGGCCCTACTCATGACAGATCGAAGTAACCAACCACCACAACAAACAACCAACCGACCGCATGAGTCATCAACAACCTAACTCGCCAATCAACCACCCAAATAGATCCGCAAATGAAGCATCTCTTTACATTCGTGACTCGGGCTCCAGTCTTTAAACGAGGCATCCCAGTCACGGCGACGCCATTGCAACGCAGCCTCATTTTCCCGTTTGACGTCCAACGTCGGTTCACGCGGTCGCCTCAAAGCGGCACGGCCCTCTCCTAACCCCGCCTTTAATCTCATTCGCGGCGTCGGCAAACAGCAGGCCAACCCCGCGCCGCTCGTGATTAGCACACGTTCCGTCGGGGGCTCGCGGTCGGGCGCCAAGTGTGGCTTACATGTTTGAGGAGCAGGTCAGCGTGGAGTCAAGGCAGGGAACAGGTGACTTTATGTATGTGTGTGGAGCATGTGTGCGTGCGTGCGTGTGTGAGTGTGTGTTGAGCAACTGATTTTTCCCCGTGTGTGCTTGCGTGCGTGAGCATGCAGATGTCTGCACACTCCCGAGGTCAAACACTCGCTCACAAATGAAATCTAGCAACAACGTGAGCGCCCGGCAGCCTGGCATGCGCTCGCACGCCAGCTGATCTTGCAAGCCTGACTGGAGCTGTCTCAACGAGGCAGGAGCGCCGGCGAGCG